TCCATGAAGGAGCTTGAAGCCTTCAGTAAATGGAGCCTATTCATGGGTGCAGCAACTTGCTTAAGTTGCTTTATCTTTCCTGTGGTACCTGGTGGCTGTTGAGGTGTCTGCATGAATAACTGCCCTCCAGGAGAGCTCCTGTGATTGAGGCCATGGAGGATCTGCACATGCAGATGGTGGCTCTTTGCATCAGCTGGTGCCCTGAAGGTGCAAAGTGTGTTCTGTGTAAATGTGAAGTGCAGATGGGATCTGYGATGAAATGCTTGGCTGTTATCTAGGGCTGAGGCCTGTCAATTGGAGGAGATCTCCGTCACCTGGAGAAAGCCTAAAAGAACTGTGCCAGCAGAAGAGCCTGCTGAGGATGTGTCACAAGTGACTTCAAGTGTGAGCCAGCCTTGTGCCTGGAATTGCCTGCTAGCACGTGGGGAGCCTGATGTTCAGAAGAAACGTGACTACAGAAGCTCATGACCAGAGCCTGATGCTCAGAAGAAACGTGACCTCGGCAGGGTGCTGCTGCAGGATTATGAAGCTGCTTGCTGGGAACTGGTGATGAGGGTTCTGCAGCTGGAGGGTTGCTCTGGCACTGGAGATGAGGAGCACCTGGGCTCGTGCTTCCAGGGAAGGGTGTGACAGGCTTCTTGCCCTGCTCTTCAGAGAGCATTGGGTTCAGCTGCAACCCGCAGAGCAGAGTGTTACTCATGCTGACTCTGCCCTTGCCTTGTCCTGACTGGTACCGTGTCCAACTGATTTTGGGCTTCTGATGAAACTTCTTGCAGGTGTTAAGAGCTGCTGGAGCTGTTCTGGGGTGGACTCTGGCTGATGACTCCTGAAGACTGCCCAGCTAGCTCCCAATCTTGGGTCAGGAGGGCTGCTGGGGATGCCCTGTGAGATTACAGGGAGTGTTGTCTGCTGATGGACACTTCTCTTGGCTTGCTTGTGACAAGAGGGTTGTGATCATCTCTCTCTCTTGCTCTTTGTGTGACCCAGTGGAGCCCGTCCCAAGTGCTCTCTACCTTGACCTCAGCGGGAGCGTCACAGTTGTCCTATATGTGGCTGAACAAGGGAGTGACCTGAGAATGGCATCCATGTGGTCCACCCAAGGTGAAATCCTGATGAGCTCTTGATATCACTCTTGATATCATTCATTAGCAGCRTAACCAGCTGGAGCACCTGGCTTGCCTCTCCTTCCTGAGCCTGCGTACATGGGATGGAGCCCACAGCCTGTGGGCAGCTGGASTGGGCTTGGGCGAGTTGGATTAGCACAAATCCTGACTCCCTGTCTGTAGTAAGTGAGGCTCAAGCTGATAAAACACGTCCCGTCCTGCACCATCTGTGGTTTTCACTTAGCCTCAGTGAAACGTTGCTAAACCGTCTTGTTGTGTCTCGACAACTGCCATGCGGTTTGGAGGACCTTGAGGGGCTGGTGGAGAACCTGCCCMGCAGACTTCACCTTCAGACTAGATATGGGCTGGTGCTGCTGGGATGAACGGGGCCTACATAGAGTCTGACAAGTGAAACAGCCTTCCAGTCACCACTCTTCAAACTCGTAAAAGCAGAAACACTTCTGGGATGTTGCTGTTGGCAGGAGAAAGACGGGGAGAGAAAGGGGCTCCAGCCAGCTCAGCGGGTGAGGTGGCCCTGGGGAGCAGACGTGCAAGTGGGCTGAGGAACCCTGGAGGCTTTGGCTTATCCTAGCTCCRTGCCCTGGAGCTGAGGAGCACCTAGTTAGTGGGTGACACTTGTGTGCTTGCCTGTGAGCTGTCTGGAGCAGGCAGGAAAGTCCAGCTGAGCCCAGGTGGGAGATGGGGTTTCCAACTCCTGGCTGGTGCCTTGGGGCCTGTCCTGTCTCTCCAAAGGCTGAGTGAGCTCTGCCCAGGCAGGGGTGGCTCTGGTYGCAGCCCTTGGCTTGGGCTGTTCCTTGCCAAGACGAGGTCTTTGTGGTCCGAAAAGCAGCTAGATGCCATGTCCCGCTGCTAGCTCTCCGTGGGGTCTCCCTCTCCATCCTTTGTCCCTCTCAGGTGCCAGCGCTGGAGCGTGCCGCCTGCTTGGCTCTTGGGTGATGTCCTGCCCCGTGCAGGTGGCTGCTGTCCTCACGGTGCTCAACTGAGCTTCCCTCTTCCCAGGGCAGAGAGACAGGAGGGCTGCAGGGTAGGCCCAGCTTTGCTAGACCCTAAGGAGGGCTGTGGTTCCTGCTGCTCAGGCTGGAGAGCCCCGCGGTGCCAGCAGGGGCTCTGGGGGGCTTCTGCGGGTGGGTGGATGGTGGGGAGGCTCTGAGGCTGCTCTGCAGGGCCCCAGAGTCTCACTGTGTGGGACACAGGAAGGGGCTTGTAGAGAAGCAGTGAGTGCTGGTGCTTCAGGGCACAYGGGGCTCTGGAAAGCTGCTTGTGGTGCCTCCTGGAGAAACGTGGGAGGCTGGTGAGAGTGGGTCTGTCTGCTGCCTTGGCTGCTCGAGCACTGAGCCCGTGCTGGGTGGGAGCCCTGGCTGCAGAGACAAGAAGGTCCTGTGAATGGTGTGGAAACGGGAGACTGGGGAGGGAAGAGACCCCTTTCGGTGCTGCAGCTGGGGGACGTGAAAGCTCAACCATATCAGCCCCTAGAGAATCTGCAGGAACAGTGACCTCCAGGCTGCAGGTCCACACGGATGGGTCTCTGTGCTCCCTTCCCGGCTCRTGGAGAAAGTGAGCTCTGTGCCCCCAAACACCCTGGGCAGTTCTGCCTGCCCCTGCATCCCGGCCAGCCMTGGGGGCCGGTCCCCTCTCTGGGGAGCAGCTGGTGGCCCCTCCCCTCCTGGGCAGGCTGGGGACCTGCCTCTTGTGCAGAAGGGCTCTCCTCATGGTGGCTCTTGGCCGTCCCCAGCCGCTGTGGCGCCTGCAGGAGCGTCCTGCGCCTCTTGCTGTCTTGCAGCACCATCTAGCGCTGCGGGCCGGGGAGCCGCGCGCGGGGCCGGCTGCCGTGCGGGAGCTCAGCTCCTGCGGCCCGGCTTGAGCCCCAGTGCCCGGGGTCCCTGCGCCTGGCTCTGCTTCCCACCTCTTGGAAACCGGCTAACCCGGCCAGTCAGGAAAAGCGGAGCAGTTTCCAGGAGGAAAGCGGTTTCCAGGAGGAAAGCCTTTCACCTCAGGGGGCAAGCAGGGCACACCCCTGGGGACACCCCGGGTCCAAGTGGCCTTGTGCCTGTCCTGGCAGCACCATGAGCACCAATTTCCACCCTGCCACATCCCTGCAGGACTGCTGCCACCCCGAGGGCCGGAGAACCAGGCTGCAGCCAAGGGAGCAGGAGCAGGGCCGGTGCTGGCGCTGCAGCCCGGCCTCCCGCCCGCTGCCCAGCCGTGCGGYGCCGCAAGAGTAGCGAGCGAGCGCCCCGGGCTGTTTGCTCGCCTTTTGTTCCCGGGAGCCTTCACTGCTCGGGCAATTAGCTGCGTTAGGGAGGCTCTGCTGCACTTACTGGGCAGGGCAGGGCGGGCAGCTCGCCAGGCACCCGGCCYGTGTTCCCGGTGAGGCGTCTGCCACGGCCACGATGGAGGGAGAGTCGCCCCTGGTTGGTGCCCRGGGAAGGAGCCGGCTCCTTTGCCCGGCCGCGGGGCACAGATGGGACGGGTGGATGGACCCAAACGCAGAGCCCCTGACTGCAAGCAGGGAGAGACCCGGGGCAGGTGTTGCCAGTGCCTGTGAGTCGATGGGTGCTGCCCGGGGCTGGGGCCTCTCCGGGAGCTGCCGGTTTTGGCGGCACCGAGGTGCGTGTCCTGGGCTGGGGCCTCCTCCCTGCTGCTGTCCCGTGGGTCACGCTCGGGCCGTGTCCCCCTCCCGCCGGGCCGCCCGCGCGGGCCCCGGAGCCCGGCCCGGCTGCGGCGCTGCC